ACCCCGTGGTACAGTGACCCCTTGGTATTGGTACCCCGTGGTAATGACCCCGTGACCCCGTGGTACAGTGACCCCGTGGTACTGTGACCCCGTGGTACTGTGACCCCGTGGTACAGTACTGTGACCCCGTGGTACTGTGACCCCGTGGTACTGTGACCCCGTGGTACTGTGACCCCGTGGTACTGGTAATGTGACCCCGTGGTACAGTGACCCCGTGGTACTGTGACCCCGTGGTACTGTGACCCCGTGGTACTGTGACCCCGTGGTACTGTGACCCCGTGGTACTGTGACCCCGTGGTACTGAGACCTCGTGGAACTGTGACCCAGTAGTACAGTGACTCCGTGGTACTGTGACCCCGTGGTACTGTGGTACAGTGACCCCGTGGTACTGTGGTACCCCGTGGTACTGTGACCCCGTGGTACTGTGGTACCCCGTGGTACTGTGACCCCGTGGTTCCGTGGTACAGTGACCCCGTGGTACTGTGACCCCGTGGTACCGTGGTACAGTGACCCCGTGGTAGTACTGTGACTGTGACCCCGTGGTACAGTGACCCCGTGGTACTTGACTGACCCCGTGGTACTGTGGTACAGTGACCCCGTGGTACAGTGACCCTGTGACCCCGTGGTACAGTGACCCCGTGGTATTCTGACCCCGTGGTACTGTGACCCCGTACAGTGACCCCGTGGTACAGTGACCCTGTGACGTGGTACTGTGACCCCGTGGTACAGTGACCCCGTGGTATTATGACCACGTGGTAATGTGACCCCGTGGTACAGTGACTCCGTGGTACTGTGACCCCGTGGTACTGTGACCCCTCCGTGGTACTGTGACCCCGTGGTACTGTGACCCCGTGGTACTGTGACCCTGTGTGGTACTGTGACCCCGTGGTACCGTGGTACAGTGACCCCCGTGGTAATGTGACCCCGTGGTACAGTGACCCGTGGTACTGTGACCCCGTGGTACTGTGACCCCGTGGTACTGTGTGGTACTGTGACCCCGTGGTACAGTGACCCCTGTGACCCCGTGGTACTGTGACCCCGTGGTACTGTGACCCCGTGGTACTGTGACCCCGTGGTACTGTGGTACAGTGACCCCGTGGTACTGTGACCCCGTGGTACTGTGGTACAGTGACCCCGTGGTACTGTGGTACAGTGACCCCGTGGTACTGTGGTACAGTGACCCCGTGGTACTGTGACCCCGTGGTACTGTGGTACAGTGACCCCGTGGTACTGTGACCCCGTGGTACAGTGACCCCGTGGTACAGTGACCCCGTGGTACTGTGACCCCGTGGTACAGTGACCCCGTGGTACTCTGACCCCGTGGTACTGTGACCCCGTGGTACAGTGACCCAGTGGTACAATGACCCCTTGGTACTGTGACCACGTGGTACAGTGACCCCGTGGTACTGTGACCCCGTGGTACTGTGACCCCGTGGTACTGTGACCCCGTGGTACAGTGACCCCTTGGTATTATGACCACGTGGTAATGTGACCCCGTGGTACAGTGACTCCGTGGTACTGTGACCCCGTGGTACTGTGACCCCGTGGTACTGTGACCCCGTGGTACTGTGACCCCGTGGTACTGTGACCCCGTGGTACAGTGACCCCGTGGTACTGTGACCCCGTGGTACAGTGACCCCGTGGTACAGTGACCCCGTGGTACTGTGACCCCGTGGTACTGTGACCCCGTGGTACTGTGACCCCGTGGTACAGTGACCCCGTGGTACTGTGACCCCGTGGTACTGTGACCCCGTGGTACAGTGACCCCTTGGTACAGAGACCCCGTGGTACTGTGACCCCGTGGTACTGTGACCCCGTGGTACTGTGACCCCGGGGTACTGTGACCCTGGGGTACTGTAACCCCGTAGTACTGTGACCCCGTGGTACTGTGACCCCGTGGTACTGTTGCCCCGTGGTACTGTGACCCCGGGGTACTGTGACCCCGGGGTACTGTAACCCCGTAGTACTGTGACCCCGTGATACTGTGACCCCTTGGTACTATGACCACGTTGTAATGTGACCCCGTGGTACAGTGACCCCGTGGTACAGAGACCCCGTGGTACTGTGACCCCGTGGTACAGAGACCCCGTGTTACTGTGACCCCGTGGTACAGTGACCCCGTGGTACAGTGACCCCGTGGTACAATGACCCCGTGGTACTGTAGCCCAGTGGTGCAGTGACCCCGTGGTACTGTGACCCCGTGGTACTGTGATCCCGTGGTACAATGACCCTGTGGTACTGTGACACCGTGGTGCAGTGACCCCGTGGTACTGTGACCCCGTGGTACAGTGACCCCGTGGAACAGTGAACACGTGGTACTTTGACCCAGTGGTACTGTGACCCCATGGTACAGTGACCCAGAAGTAATGTGACCCCGTGATACTGTGACCCCGTGTAACAGTAACCACGTGGTACTGTGACCCAGTGGTACAATTACCACGTGGTACTGTGACCCCGTGGTTCAGTGACCCAGTGGTTCTGTAACCCAGTGGTGCAGTGACCCCATGGTACAGTTACCCCTTGTTACAGTAACCCCGTGGAACAGTGAACACGTGGTACTTTGACCCAGTGGTACTGTGACCCCATGGTACAGTGACCCAGTGATACAGTGACCCCGTGGTACTGTGACCCAGTGGTACTGTGACCCCGTGGTACAGTGACCCAGTGACCCAGTGGTTCTGTAACCCAGTGGTGCAGTGACCCCATGGTACAGTTACCCCTTGTTACAGTAACCCCTTCGTTCTGTGACCACGTGGTACTGTGACCCTCGTGGTACAGTGACCCCGTGGTACAGTGACCCCGTGATACAGTGACCCAGTGGTACTGTGACCCAGTGGTGCAGTGACCCCGTGGTACAGTGACCCCTTGTTACAGTGACCTCTTGGTACTGTGACCACGTGGTACAGTGACCCCATGGTACAGTGACCCCTTGTTACAGTGACCCCTTGGTACTGTGACCACGTGGTACAGTGACCCCGTGGTATTGTGATCCCATGGTATAGTTACCCTGTGGAACAGTGACCCCATGGTACAGTGACCCTGTGGTGCAGTATGCCAATGATATAGTGACCGCACACTATAATGACCTAATAATATAGTGACCCCATGGTACTGTGACCCAGTGGTAGAAGTAACCCAATTAAATATCGGACGTCTGGACCCCTCCTCTGCCTGGGAGCCGTTTGGATCGCATTCTGTTTTCGCGATTTTGGATTTGATACTATTGTTTCGCATCCCGATTCAACGATCTGGTTTGTACGATGCCTGATGCATATATCGCCTTGGGTTACAGGATAGTTAATAGATTTTGAACGTTTTCTGGCTGGTTTTCCCGGTGGGGTGACGGTGTCCGGCGCCGGCATGGCGGGGAGGTGCCTGGAGATGGTGGGCTCCTGGTGTCCCCTCAGCTGTGGTGGGCTCCTGGTGTCCCCTCAGCTGTGGTGGGCTCCTGGTGTCCCCTCAGCTGTGGTGGGCTCCTGGTGTCCCCTCAGCTGTGGTGGGCTCCTGGTGTCCCCTCAGCTGTGGTGGGCTCCTGGTGTCCCCTCAGCTGTGGTGGGCTCCTGGTGTCCCCTCAGCTGTGGTGGGCTCCTGGTGTCCCCTCAGCTGTGGTGGGCTCCTGGTGTCCCCTCAGCTGTGGTGGGCTCCTGGTGTCCCCTCAGCTGTGGTGGGCTCCTCGTGTCCCCTCAGCTGTGGTGGGCGGCTGGTAGGCGTCATGAGGGCGCCACATGACTTTTGCATATTAGTTGGGGGCCGAGTTTTGGGCTTTGCTCCCTAGTGTTCTCTGTGTGGGGCGGGGCCGGTGCTTGTCACCCTGAGGGACTCCTGGGGTTCCCCATTCATTTGACTCTCTGTGCGTTTCTTTGACGCGAGGCATCTTAGTGCCTGGTGATATGCATCGTACGTTTCACTATTAGGATTTGCGATTAACTCATTATGATCCCTCATTATGATATAAGAGTTACACTATCTTATACGAGAAGTAGAGATTTTAGTAGCTAGCGTTCAGAATTTTATGGAAGAAATGTAGTATTTGGAGTGACAGATGAAGTGCATCCGATCCAACGTTCGTCGTCGCTCCTTAATTCATAACAACAACACAACTCGGATGTACAAGGACACCGTCACACCGACGCCACAGCAGCGACACGATACTCCCTCACACACAGTAAACATTGTTCCTGCACCTTATAACAGCACTCAACAAAGTAGAACCTGCTTAATTGCAGCCATTTTATACGTGGAACTTTGTATAATGGTGAAACTACAAATAAAACTGATTTAAGAGTTCACACGCACTGTTTAACAATGATAAGTACGTGAAAGATAAAGAAGTTGTGAGTGGAGAGTGAACCACACGTGATGCCTGAGGCCAAGAGCAGACGGAGTCCATTACAACAGCACCTGATCATCAGTGATGAACAACACTACATGCACTGACCCAACTGCACCTGATCGTCAGTGATGAACAACACTACATGCACTGACCCAACACCACCTGATCATCAGTGATGAACAACACTTCATGCACTGACCCAACAACAGGGATAAGTCCTAACAAAGTAAGACTGAGATCCGTACCTGCATCTTAATAAAATAAGGGAGGTTGGTGGTGAAATAATAGAGATTGGATTCAATATCTTTGTGCCACTAATCCCATTTATTGTAGGTGTGGTTATGCCATGAGCTTACGAGCTCTTACTACCCTTATTGATCACAAGAAGAGGACAAAAATAAGACCAACCAATATATAGTATACAACGAGAGTTTAGAAACAGGTCTAGCACATTACAGTGTTAAAGGAGAGGGCACAAACAAGACCCATCCATATATTGACTATAGAAATATAAAACACAAGACCCACCCATATATTACTACAGATATATGAGACACCAGACCCACTGATATATTGGTTACAAAGATGTGTGAAACAAGATCCACCCATATATTGACTACAGAAATATTAGACACAAGACTACAGAGATATGAGACGCAAGACCCACCTGCTGCCTAGTGATATATATGGGCTTGTTCATGATGAGCCAGGTGGTGGTCTCCCAGCAGCCGGGATGGGTGGTGGAGCCGTCGTAGGTCATGTAGTGGTGGGTGCTGGGCAGCAGGCCCGCCAGTGACAGGTGCCGGATGGCCCACTTCTGGCCCCGGAACACCACCTTCTGGAACCCCGACGCCAGGATCCCGACGTCCGCGTTGCCTTCATCGCCCTCCTGCGGTAGGACAATGTGCGGTGACAGGATTTTAGACGGGAATATATTTTGAAGAAGAGTTACACTATCTTATACGAGAAGTAAAGAGATTTTAGTAGCTAGCGTTCAGAATTTTATGCAAGAAATGTAGTATTTGGAGTGACAGATGAAGTACGTTTTAGTTCGAGATGAAAGTTGTGCAAGAAGAGGGTGTCTTGGAATGCATTATACATTCTTTCCTGAAAGAGGTATATATATATATTTTTAAGAGGAGATGACATCTTCTTCATATGAGTAATGAACGCCATCTTAAGAGGATAGCACAGTTCTTAACTGTAATAGGTTCCATCTTTAAAGTTTAAGATCCTTCTTGGGAGAAACAGTTATTGAGAGAATAAAATGCTTTTTACAAGTAGCAGAGAAAGAGTTTTGAATTCGACACAGTCTTGAAAGTGAGATAGTGGTTTTAGTAGGATGTTCCGTGTATTGAGAGCGACGAAAAAAATGGATGGTGAGTAGGGAAATGAATCTTCTGAGTGGAAAATACAATGTGTGTTTACATGGACTAGGGCGTTCTGAGTGGCGTGGCAGATACAATATTCTGAGCAGATGATAAAGTGTTGGAGATACACAGTCATGGTTAGAGTGAGCTAGGATACCACACATCTGTCTTCATCACAGTCACCTTATATTATTCTCCTAAATTTCCTCAAATACAGTATGCTCGTTGTTCAGTTCCCTTCAAAATAACAGTAGTAGAACGGACAAGGGAGAGAGGGAGAGGGAGGGAGAGAGAGAGAGAGAGAGAGAGAGAGAGAGAGAGAGAGAGAGAGAGAGAGAGAGAGAGAGAGAGAGAGAGAGAGAGAGAGAGAGAGAGAGAGAGAGAGAGAGCAGACAGACAGACAGACAGACAGACAGACAGACAGACAGACAGACAGACAGACAGACAGACAGACAGACAGACAGACAGACAGACAGACAGACAGTAACAGCGACACAGAGAGATTGGTGGACCAACATGTGAAGCAAAGCAGGCAGGAAGAGACATAGCCTTGCCTACATTACTCAACATATCTTCCCATCATGCAGTAAACTTTATGATGTTTACTGCAAAAAGGCTCCAAATCACCGTTTCTGGCCAGAAAACATATTACATTACACAACCTGGTAAGGTGACGCTATAATTTACATAAAATAAACAAAGCCAACTTATTTTCTCCCCAAAGTTCCTTTGATGTCCTATTTTAATTATAATGAGCGAAAGAAAGACTTAAAGTAAGCCCAGCCCTTGACTGCGCCCCACGGCTCGTTCTTAAAGAACTAGCGAGACGCAAGAGCATCACCTTTTCCAGACGAGGCAGGGAGGATGCAGCTTCCTGTGCGTCAAGTACATTTATCCATAATATATTCACGTTCCTTTGAACCTAAGAGAAGCTCTCGTTGTGTACAAAAGTCACCCATTGTACGCAATTGTCACTTCATTTACAGGACGAGGTCTTTTGTGCCGAGGAAAGTCTTCCTTGCCTGGGTCATGTTCATTTTAAGCGTTCCGTGTTTGGTATAATTATAGCAGGTTCACTTAAAGAGCAGAGCGCTCATTATAAGAGAAAAAAAGATGAAAGAATATGAAACGAACGAACGTGAAAGTGGTAAACACAAAACGGAGGAGAAAAAATTTGGTAAGGTAAAAATTCAGGGAATAGAAGATAAAAGTTAAGGAATAAAGCCAATTATGAAAATAATAGAGCGTAAAATTAAAAGCAAATGATGCATAAAAAATATAGTTGAGAGGGTTTGTACATGAGGAGAAATGATGGAAAATTGAGATGACATAAACTAGAATTAGGATCATAATAACTATTCAAATCGACGTCACCGTACTGACGTCCAACCTCCCCCCAATATACTGACGTCCACCTTCCTCCCATATACTGACGTCCACCCTCCTCCCATATACTGACGTCCACCCTCCTCCCATATACTGACGTTCACCCTCCTCCCATATACTGACGTCCACCCTCCTCCCATATACTGACGTCCACCCTCCTCCCATATACTGACGTCTACCCTCCACCCATATATTGACGTCCACCCTCCTCCCATATACTGACGTCCACCCTCCTCCCATATACTGACGTTCACCCTCCTCCCATATATTGACGTCCACCCTCCTCCCATATACTGACGTCCATCCTCCTCCCATATACTGACGTCCACCCTCCTCCCATATACTAACGTCCACCCTCCCTCCCATATACTGACGTCAACTCTCCTCCCATATACTGACGTCCACCCTCCTCCCATATACTGACGTCCACCCTCCTCCCATATACTGACGTCCACCCTCCACCCATATACTGACGTTCACCCTCCTCCCATATACTGACGTCCACCCTCCTCCCATATACTGACGTTCACCCTCCTCCCATATACTGACGTCCACTCTCCTCCCATATACTGACGTCCACCCTCCTCCCATATACTGACGTCCACCCTCCTCCCATATACTGACGTACACCCTCCTCCCATATACTGACGTCCATCCTCCTCCCATATACTAACGTCCACCCTCCCTCCCATATACTGACGTCAACTCTCCTCCCATATACTGACGTCCACCCTCCTCCCATATACTGACGTCCACCCTCCTCCCATATACTGACGTCCACCCTCCTCCCATATACTGACGTCCACCCTCCTCCCATATACTGACGTCCACCCTCCTCCCATATACTGACGTCCACCCTCCTCCCATATACTGACGTCCACCCTCCTCCCATATACTTACGTCCACCCTCCTCCCATATACTGACGTCCACCCTCCTCCCATATACTGACGTCCACCCTCCTCCCATATACTGACGTCCACCCTGCCCCCTTATACTGACGTACCCCCTCCCCCCATATTCTGACGTCCACCCTCCGCCCTATACTGACGACCACCCTCCCCCCTTATACTGACGTCCACCCTTCCCCCATATACTGACATCCACCCTCCTCCCATATTCTGACGTCCACCCACAAACACTGACATCCACATCAAATACTGATGTCCACCCCCGTATACTAGAGTGCACCCCATATTTTGACGTCCACTCCTATTTACTGACGTCCACCTCGAAGTGGGTCACCTTGCCCAATAATTAGACAAATACCAACTCCAACCTACCACCTGGAAAAAGGACTCAGTTAGGAGTTATAGCAACTCCTAGCTCCATCCTCTCCAAGTTTGCAATCATCAGCAAATTTCCAAGAAATAATAAAAACTAAACAGCCCGATGGAATTAGTGCTTCACTGGACGTCGAATCCCTATTTACCCACGTCCCGGTCGACACCACCATAGAAATGATCCTGGACAGAATATTCAGAGACGAGAGCACCACCAAATTAGACATACCCGAGCCACACTTCAAGAGCCTTCTCGAAGCATGTACAAAGGAAGCTCCCTTCATTAGTCCGCAAGGGGACAAGTATCTATAGATAGACGGAGTAGCAATGGGCTTCCCCCTAGGAGTGCCAATTTTTACATGGGAATCATCGAAGAAATAGTCTTCAATAATAGGCATAAACCAGTTGTTACTGCCGTTATGTCGATGACATATTCGTTATAGCAAAATACACAGATGTACTAATTTATCTAAAACGCCATCTAGGAAGAGAGTCAGTACTCCGATTTACACATGGAAATAGTGAAAAGAGCAGTCTACCTTTCCTGGATGTGCTAATAACAAAAAACAGATGCCTCTTTAAGCACCAGCGGTTATACTAAGCCTACAAACATAGAATTATGCCAAACCGGTAGAAGTGTTCCAAAGACACAAAGCCAGTGTTCTCAACGCTTATATTCGTCGAGCCCGTACCCACTGCTCTTAATAGAGTAGCGTGATAGGTAGTTTGAAAGAATAACTCAAGTGTTAGTGAACAATGGTTATAGCAACAAAGAAATTAACACTACTATAAGATGACACCTGGACCGATGGTACAATCCTGAACCTAAAATAAAAAACCACCACACCTTCAGTCAAAATATATTACAAATCTACCATGCACAGTGAACTTAAAAAAGAAGAAAAAATAATGAAAGAAATTACCAGTAAATGAGTAAAAAGCATAACTCCTAACCAATACATAGACTTAATCATATTCTATAAAACAAAGAAGACTACCCGACCTCCTCATTAAAAACAGCTCGAAGCCGACGGAGAACCCTTTACTGCAGTCAAACGTGGTATATATGTACATATGTATATATGTGAAGGATGTAACGTTCAATCTAAGTACATAGGTATGACGTCGACTAAGCTGACGAAGCGTTTGACCTGTCATCTTCAGGTCAAATCAGCTGACTATAAAAATCATATGAGACAAGCCCATGGCATCTCCCTAACTAGAGAGATATTGAATATAATCACTTGTATAATAGACAAAAACCAAGATGTAAGATTATAAATTCTTGAAGCAATCCACACAAGAAAAGAACAACCTACCATAAATACCCAAATTACTGAACTATTTACTCTACCCACCTTAAAAGTAAGAACAAGACCGGAACGTAAAGATGCCCACATAGAAGTCACTGGTCAAGATGCCACGCCCACGCCCACCTTTGTATATGATTCGTCCCTATTTACGTCCCCTATCCTTACCCCATTTATGCCCTATTTTTCCTTTTCGATGTACTCCTCACCTTTTTATTTTAGGCACCTGACCTCCTTAATGGTATAATTCCAATACGCCTAGCACTGCCCCATCCAACCAGCACCCTCGCTGCCCCTTGCATCACTTGCTGGCATTATCCCTGGTCTAATACGATAAGCGGAGAGGCTTGCCGGATCAGACAACCACCGATTCTTCAGGGAACTGAATGTGTTTTTCCTAGCCAATGGCCTGCACCCATCACAGTCCCTGACACAAGTCTCACTACCTCCTTTACCACACAGGGGACTTCCACAAGGTCGATCTGAACCCAGACTTCAGCTCCACTACAGACCCAGGCTGTACAAACAGCAGCAACCTCCAA